GTGGTTCAGATAATTCTTCTTTTCCCCACCCTTTATAAACTTGCAGCTAAGGAGCATCAGTGCTAACTTGTGATAAAGAGCAATGATCAAAACAAAAATGACCTGCAATCCACTATTACTTTTATTCTGGTTGTTCTTTCTGCCTGGAGATTTTTTTCCTGACATATCTTTTTGGCTTGTTCCTCACCTCTTACAAGCCTTTGTTCAAATGACACCTTCTCAATGAGGCTTTCTATGGAGGACACACCCTAAGGTGATCCCCAATGAGTCCTGCCTTTATATAATCCCCTTCCCTTGAGTGTGGATGGAATCTGTGACTTGTTTGTAACTGATAAAATATGAAAAAAAGTGATGAGGTGTCACTCTGTTGATTTGGTTGTTTTACATAGATTTTATGTTATATAAGACTAAGTCTTAGCACAACGGAGAGAGAGACTTCCTTTCTGATGTTGAAGAAGCTGTCATGTTGTAAGAGGGCTTGTGAGTGGACCCTGGGGCAAGAAACTGCTGGCAGCCTCTAGCTGTTGAGTGGCCTTGACTGACAGTCAGTGGGAAGCCGGGGCTATCAATCCTACAACCACAAGGAAAGGAATTCTACCAACATCTTTAGGGAGTTTGGGAGATGATTTTTTCCAAGACAGTTCTCCAGATGAGAATACAGCTTGGCTAACACCTTGACTGAGCAAAGGACAGACATACTGACCTATGGAAACCATGAGATAATCAATGTGTGCTGTTCTAAGGTGTTAAGTGGTGGCAATTTGTTAAACAGAAATAGAAAATTAACTTAATATAAAACCTTCCCTAATCACTCTCTTTGAAATTGCTATCCTTCCCCTCACCACATACCCTCTCTGGTTAGTTTTGTTTCAGCCACAGTGCTTTTCATTATCTGCTATGCTATACCACTAACTTATATGTTTTAATGTCTGTCTCTCTCAGCTATGATGAAAATTTCATGAAACAAGCAAAGCTTTGTCACATATATATCAACTGTGCCTAGAATAGCTGCTGGCACATAAGGAGCACTCAATGAATACGGGCTGAAAGATAAGTGAATATAAGTATCATAGTCAGATCAGCTTGACCTAAAGAGTTAGACAGCTTGAATAGCATAGCGCACAGTCAATATGGGAGATAGATCACAGGAAATGTCCCAGGAAATTCTGATTCCTGTCCCATTTCTACCACTTGCATGTGATTCTGGACAAGTCCCCAAAATTTGCTTAGCTTCAGTTTTGTCTACTTTAACTACAGATAATAATGCAAACCTTGTTTGCGCGTATGTTTATTTTCAGACTCAAAGTAGTGTATAAAATACTGCTTAATACATTTTAAGGAATGATGTTCATTCTAAATGAAGAAATACAGATGGCTAATGTATGTAAAAATATTCCAGTTTTCCTAGTAATCAAATGAATTATAGGCCAAACATTAATGATATATCACCTATGGACTATCAATTAAAAAGTTGAGTGATGCTATGCAACATTGGATATGTATACAATCTCAAATACTGTTGGAAGGTGAACAAAAATGGTGATAGGTTTAGAACCTCAAAAAGAGAGCAAGTATACCTTTCATTCCAGCAGTTCTGCTTTTAGAAACCTATTTTTTAATGTAATTAGACAGGTGTACAAAATATAGATTTGAGAACATTCATGAAAGTTTGGTTTCAATTGTAAAACAATGTAATTTACCCAAATATTTAAGCACAAACTACTGAGTTATCTAAACGGTAATCTCTCCCCTGTCCGTCTCGTATTGATTAACCAACTTTGCCAGTCTCTAAATACCATCCTCTAACCTGAGGCCAAGATCATCATAACTTCCCTAACCATCCAACTCCGTAGGTTTCCTGAGACCACATCAGGATCAATGACCTATGTTGCCCTATGACATTTTGGCTGTCTATAAACTAATAAAAGTAAATCAGTGGGAAAGTAAAGTAGGCCTTCTAAGATAGTGGTATAACCAAAGAATATTGATTCTTTATGTTTTTCCGTTCTCTACTTGCATAATTCCAAAGCACGTATTGAATTGTACGTCAATGTGCATTATAATTTTTGTAATACAGCAGCTAGACCACATCTTTCCACAAATTCCTTTGAACATTCTTCTGATTTTCTAATTCTTGCTGACTGCCATTCCTGTCTTGACATTTATCACTAGATTTCTTTTGAGTGATTCTCAATAAATTGTTTAGGAAGCTTTTGAAATAGCATTGATATTTCCCTAAGCCTCACAGGTCTTATCTTGTATATTTATTTGTGTGGAACTTAAGTTTTTTTTCCATTTGGCATTGTCGAAAAAAAGTTGATTTGGTTTATATTATTTATCTTTCAAAATTATTCTACTAGAAATAAAATATGAAAAGGGCTTTATTTTTGCTGCATAAAAATACAAGAAACGATATTAAGACACATGAATTCTAGCCACAAACTAACCAAAGTATTTGGCCATGCCTATAAGCTCAACAGCTGAATAGTCCCTAAGTATTATCATTTACCTTGATATCAGGAAGTCTGTCACTGAGATAAGAGAATTAGTTGCACATAGAGTGAGATTGAGATCCGTAGGAACAATTGATTGTAGCTTGGTACTTCTTGACAACCTCTAGAAGACTAAAACAATATTTACATTCTAAATATACACAGTTCTCTAAATCAGCATTTAGGGCTGATTTCAGTAGTGTCTATCTTTCAGTTACATCACAGACAACACACAGCAGTACTGGCATTTGATAATTGACAGACTCCTTGATATTTAACTACTATGTCAATGGAAACGGATTAATTCAAATCATAATGGTTAATTTGAAACAGTAAATAGTGAAAGTTTTGGCATTTCATATAATTGAAATTGTTTTGTAATATGATAGACAGGATCTCCCATGATTTGATTGGACCCTATAATTCATCAATTTTCCTCATTTCTGCATATACACTCTGCTGTAGCCATTACATGCATTTTTTTTGTTTTTTTTTATAATGTACACTCTTCTATTTCCGTGTTTATACAAAGCTATTTATTTTCCCTGAAATATCCTCCCACCCTCAACATCCAACCCTTCTTCTTCAGGCTAATTCTTCTTGTATCCTTCAGGACCCAGACCAGATACCACTTTCCCAGGTGGCCTTCCTTGTGAATTTTTAGGCACCCCTCTTTGGTCCTAATATGGCACAATAAGAGTACCTCAACCAATGATTGCCATTATCGATTTCAGTGTGTGTTCTCTCCCTATTGCTGCGAAATGCATGTAAACACACAGTCACACACACTTGCCTACACATACAGTCACAGATACACAGATACACACCAGACAAAAATAAAAACATTCTCTTTAATCTTTTAAAAAAACTCAGCCATTTAACAGCATGCCTGTTGCTAATGCTCAATAATTGTCTGTTGAATGAGTCTTGATATTGCTTCAAGATTTTAAGAAATAGAGATGACCAAAATAATAGATATCTAACATTTTAGAAGTAAAACTTTATTTACCTATTATATTCTAATCCTAGATATACTTTTACAAATAAATAAATTATTTAATGCATATTATAAAATTGTAACCACTTTTAATAGTCATATCAGAGTAATGATATTAAAATTTTACTTTCTATGAAATATTTGTACAGTTTAGATATTTATGATATGGTCTACTTTTTATCTAAATTTAATTCTTTAATAAACTCCTTTTTCACAAATCTGCCAGGGCAAATGAGCACTCTCAAAATATCTTTGTATTATTTTAAAATAATTATTCTAGAATAATCTCATGTATATATTACACACACATACACCCACACATCTTATATAAATCCCATCAATTAAAATATTAGGAATTATTTGAAGCTTAAGCTGTGGTACTATGTAGGTGAAATTAAGCAGATACAATCCAGGATCACCACGTGTCTAATATTATTTCATCAGACTTTTTGCAAGATAGAAGGAACATTTCTAAATCACAATGCATAAGTGATTTATGCATAAATCAATAGATATTGGCTAAGCAGACGTTTTACATACTGGGTGTTGTTCTGAGCCCTTGGCATACGTCAGTGTATATTTGTAAGATACTCATTACGACTCCGCTCAATCACTTCATAAAAATGTGATTAGTATATGTTTTATTCTCATAGAGTGCTACACTAAGACTCTGACATATCACAACTGCATAACAACATGGGCTTTCATGAGAATAAAATGAAGTTTTAATCATTTTTAATAACTGTGGCTCTGTGAAAGTCTATAGCGAAAATATTTGGGGCATGAGACCACTTCGGTTTCTCTTAAATCATGTCACATTCATAGCTATTTATCAATTCCATCCAAGTTGGCGTGTTCTGTTTCTGGCCTTCAAGCCAGAAAAGGAGCTTTTTCAGTACAGGTGAAAAATATGCGCCATGTAAAAAGAATTTTCAGAAAAACACTATTAATTTTCTTCCCAGATACTGAATTATTTGGGAAACACACCTGATATTTGAGGGGAGGGATTTTTTTAAATCATGTAAGTTGGAAATCATTTGCTTTATGGATTAACATAAGACGTTTATTCATCTTCGAAAATATGAGAAGGACCAGATACCTTTCTAATATAGACATATAAAATATGATGGAATTTATTATGTATAACTGAAACACAAAAGCTAATTGCATTTGTTTGAAAATTAGGGGTTTATAAGACTCCAATGCTTCACCTGAATTAGGCAGAGAACCTTTGCAGGAAACAATCATTAAACAGAAATGAAAGTTTTCAATTCCAATTCACCTAAGGCAGAGGTATATCTTTTCATATAATGTAATAATATGCTTTGGCATTTTCATAAGCCAAAAGTGCAAGAAAATGCTTTTGTCAGAAGTGGATTATCACAAATGTTGTATTTTCCTTAGATGAGGTTGAAGAGGATGTATTCTGAAATTCCAACAATATCAACAATAGTAACTTTCAAATTGCCATACAGTCAAATACTATTAATCATTTCCATATTTTTTAATAGAGGCTCAAAGAACTGAAACAAAGGGAATTTGCTCGAAATGTAGCATCTAAATCCAGGAAAGATGAAAGAAAACAGGAAAAGGCTCTCCAACGCCTGCACAAGCTGGCCGAGCTAAGAAAGGAAACTGTATGGTGAGTGGCCAATGAAATGTTAAGTTTTCTTAAAATATAATGACCCTAAAACAAAAAGGGATGTAGAAATCAAGGGTACAGATTTATTTATTTCTGTACCCAGAATAAGACACTCACATTGTCATGGCTTTCTGTGGGTTGTAAACAGTGATTTGAATTTGAATTTTATGCAAACACCTGTTTAATGCACATTTCAATAAAAAGCCAAAATTACTATAATTTTAGTTTGTAAAGAAGTAAATTTCATATTATTCTACTGTTTATGCTATCTTAGTGGAAAATTATTCTATTTCTTGGTGGAAATTCAAAATATTTGATTGAAGAAGAGACCAAAGCACTATCTTATGACCTTTGATATGAAGGAGTTTTAAGAGGAACTTATTTTTTTAATTGAAAATTTAGAAACTTTTGTTTAAAATTTTCTTTGCAATTATAAAAATAATAAAGGTCAAGAAGAACTTGTGCATTTCAGAGGCAGGTCAAAGTTAATTTTGCTGTAAATAACAAAAACTGGACTGCTAGAAGTTCACAGCTCTTATACTTTGTCCTGCTTCTAACAGAGCAGCTATAGTGTTACAATTCAGAACTTACAATTTAGGCCAGGGCTACATTATGAAAAGAAGACTGCTTTTTAGAGTGTCCTTCCTCATGCACTCCGATTAAATAGGATTCTCTTATTATTGTCTAAAACAAAGCTATGTTATACCAAATCTATTTGGTACCAATACTGTTAGGGAATATTGATATATCAAAAGATTGTTTGGGATATCAAATTTAGAAAAAATCAAAATCAATTTAAATGTAGCTGGAATCCTATAGGATTAAAATCAAACATAACTGCTGTTCAATTACACCAACCAGAAGTTTTTACTCTGTTTGATAATAAATGATAAATTATACAAGCGTAAGTTTATGTTATGGAGAATCATAGGACCTATGTAATTGAATATGCTATAAGTGGCATTTGCAAATTAAATTCTAATATATTAAAAGAACTAGAGTTAATAATAAGTTATGTACAAAAAAAAAGCAACACTTCTTATCTAAATCATTTTCCTAAGTATACAGTATATATTTCACATTATACATGCACACACACGCACATACACAATTTTCCCATTAAGTGGGTGCCTCTAAAGATATGCAGACTAGGAGTGTTGTTTCTTACTATCAAACAAGGCAATGAAACAGTCCATCGTATTAGAGATTAAAGGAAATATTCAATTTAAAAAATTGGGGGCCATTTATGACTTCTAAGCAACTAACATTTGAGAGTAGCATGGGAAATTTTGCACAGCTTGATTCTGTTAGGGTAAAGACGATGTTTAGGTAGCTCCTTGTTTATGTGCTGAACAGTTTAGTTCTTGTAGTCAGAACTCACTATATACGATATACTGTAATGCCAAATAAATAGAAATTACATCTTAAGTCAACAGTCTTCTATCTTGCATCTACTGTATATTATTATATAATTGATAACTTCAGGGTAATTTTTAAATATTAAGAATAGCAATTCCAAAAGACTCAAAGCTCTCATTGAGCTATTATTGTCTTTTAGTCATTTTTGCATTACGCCATACCACCTGGCCTGTGGTAAACTCTCAGTGGAGGTTGGTTGAAGTGAATTGTTGAACTGAATCCCTAGCCCTTCTAAAGTCATGAGTGAGGGGTTTTTCTTAATTTCCTTCATATTCTCCACACAGTATCAATTATGATAAGTATTGGTGAATTAAAAGTAATTTCATTTTAGAGAATTCTACAACACTCCAAAATGTCACTGAAGAGGCCATAAGGGTAAAAAATCTTGGTCAGAATGCATTGGTTAGGAGCGTAGGAATGTCCTTGACATTGTTGTTGATAGCTATAAAAGTAACCTCAAGACAGCATCTCCAAGTTATCCCCCCAAATAACCAATAACTAAATGAAATTGTGGCACTATGGAAGGTAGTTGTACCAAATGAAAGTAATTCTCTTATAAAGATTTACAAATTTGAAAAAAAAATCTTATAATGACATTTCTAAGGTGTTAAGTGTTTGAATATTTTTCTCAAAATGCCCTATCTAATACACACTTTTGATTCTTTGTGTAGTGCTCCTGGAAGTGGCCCCATGTTCAAGTCAACAACTGTTACTGTGCGAGAAAATTGTAATGAAATTTCCCGAAGAGTTGTTGTGGATTCAGTTAATAACCAGGAAGATTTCAAATATACTCTGATTCACAGTGAAGAGAGTGCTAAAGATGTTACCACTGTTACTACAGACCCAGAAAGCGCAGGTAATTATACAGCAAAAAATAACCAACGTGGAGATCAAGCCCAGGGACTTCACAGACACAAAATTGGCTTTTCTTTTGCATTTCCAAAGAAAGCATCCGTGAAGCTGGAGTCCTCAGCTGCAGCCTTCTCTGAATACAATGATGATGCCTCTGTGGAAAAAGGATTTAGCAGAAAAAGTAGATTTGTCCCCGGTGCTTGTCATCTTCAACTATCTTCACCAACAGATGTGCTTTTGGGTTCTGAGGAGAAAGCTAACTCTTTTCATATACCAGAGGGAATGTGTACTGACAAAGAAACTGCTCAAACTCAAGAGATGAAAGAAGTTTCTAGTGAACAAGATGCATTATTATTACCTTCATTTTACCAGTTTCAGCTTCCTTTATCTTCTGATGTAGACAGTTGCCAAAATTCAGTCCCATTGGCAGACCAAATATTACAGGAAGATGTTATTATTAATGAAGACATATCTATGAGTGATAATAGTTCTGAGTTGTTAGGAAATAAATCCACAGTTCTTGACATGGCTAATGATTGCATATCTTTGCAAGCTACAACTGAGGAAAATGTTAAGGACAATGATGTATCCGTAATTGAAGTTGAAAATAAAAATCATGGCCCTGAGATGTTGGCCCCTTCTAATTCTGAAGAAGATAACACAACCTTACATAAAAAAACAGATCCATATAAAAGACCAAGTGAGCCATTTGTACCAGTACTTAACAAAGACAGATCCACAGTTCTCCAGTGGCCGTCAGAAATGCTGACTTACACAACTACTCAACCATCAATCTCCTATAGCTGTAATCCTCTCTGTTTTGACTTCAAGTCCACTAAATTAAACAACAATCTAGATAAAAATAAACTGCCCTTAAATGATCTTTATTCCCAGCAGAATGGAGAAGACATTTGCAAGAGACCAGTCTTAGATTGCAAGGACACATCTACTGCAGGACTCACTGATTATGAAATTGGAGGTAGCAGAAATGAATACACCCAAGTCACTCCTCTTTTAGCTGATGATAATACTCTCTCCAATACTTGTGATTCTGGAAAAAATGAGAATACAGATCAGAGGTATAAAAATATTTCCTGTAGGATCAGAAAAACAAAAAAATATAATCTTACTAAAAATCAAATAAAACAGGATACTGTAGATGAGAAATACAACAAAATGAGGTTAAAAGATACTCATGAACACTGGTTCCATAAAAGTAGAAGAAAGAAAAAAAGAAGGAGGTTATGTCAACATCATGGTGGGGAGAAAACCAAAGAATCAGAAACTCACTTCAAAATGGAAATGGAAAATAGTTACACTGATACAACTAGGAAAAATCTACTGGAAACAATTACTGAAAAGGAGTATTTAGCTGCAGAGCAATTATTGGACTCATATCAACTCCCTGATAAAAGGGCCAAATCAGCATCTATAAACTTAAGTGCAAATGAAGAAATATGTAAAACCTGGAGCAGTGAATACAATAATGATGATGCTGTCAGTTCTAAAACCCACTGTAAAAAGAACTCAATTGTTTTAAATGGAAAATCCAATCCAACAATGATACATCCTGGGAAACACAATTTGACATATTCCAGAACTTACTGTAATTGGAAAGCCAAAATGTCCAGCTGTAGTCAGGATCACAGATGCCTGGTTCTCCCAAATGACATGAAATGCCTGAGTCAGAATCAGGCTGTTAAAAGAGGTTATAATTCTCTTATTAATGAATCAGAAAGATCCCATCGAAAACGTAGACAACATTCACATTCTTATTCTTCAGATGAAAGTTTAAATCGACAGAATTATTTACCAGAAGAATTTTTGAGGCCACCACGTGCTTCTGCTCCCTGTAAGCCTAAAAGGAAAAGGAGGAGAAAAAGAAGCAGATTCCACACCGGATTTGAAGCTTTGGAACTGAAAGAGAATACAGATTATCCCATGAAAGGCAATTCTTCCTTACATTACCAGGGTGAGTTAATAAGTGAAGATAAAAAAGAAGAAATTAAACCACAAGAAATTGCAAATGTCGAAAGAAACTTGGAACAAACAGACCAAGTAGAAAATAAACTGCACCCTAGCAGTCCCCTTCCTTCTGAAATCAGTGGAGAAACTGAGCCCTTAGTGATGGATACCACTCCTGGTGAATTGCCAGAGATTTCCAACGAGCCCACGACATCTGTCTATGTAGCCAGTGCCCCAACAAAAGAAGAAATTAATAATACCTTGCTTAAACACAAAGAAAGAAGTGAGAATAGAGATGTTAATGAAAAGCAAATTCCTTTCAAGGTGCCTAATATTGAAAGAAACTCTAGACAGTCCCGACCTAAATCATACCTTTGCCATTATGAACTGGCCGAAGTCCCTCCACAAGGAAAGATGAATGAGGCATCAACTGAGTGGCTGCGTTTTAATTCAGGAATCCTTAACGCACAACCACCACTACCATTCAAAGAAGCACATGTCAGTGGTCAGACCTTTGTAACAACAGAGCAAATCCTGGCTCCATTAGCTTTACCAGAACAAGCATTATTGATCCCGATAGAAAACCATGACAAATTCAAAAATCTACCATGTGAGGTCTACCAGCACATCATCCCCGCGAACATGCTGGCCAACAAGGTCAAATTTACTTTTCCTCCAGCTGCCCTCCCGCCCCCTAGCACACCTCTGCAGCCTCTGCCTTTGCAGCAGCCCTTATGTTCTACCTCTGTAACCACTATCCACCACACTGTTTTGCAGCAGCATGCGGCAGCTGCTGCAGCCGCAGCGGCAGCGGCAGCCGCAGGAACGTTTAAAGTGCTTCAACCACACCAACAGTTTCTTTCCCAAGTCCCAGCTCTCACCAGAACATCGTTACCTCAGATCTCAGTAGGACCAGTGGGACCAAGGCTTTGTCCTGGGAACCAGCCAACTTTTGTTGCTCCTCCTCAGATGCCAGTCATCCCAGCTTCAGTCCTTCATCCTGGCCATCTGGCTTTCCCGCCTCTCCCCCATGCACTTTTCCCTTCTCTGCTTTCCCCACACCCTACTGTCATCCCACTGCAGCCCCTCTTCTGACCATCACCTTCAAAAGGAAAGAAAACATTCATCTGAAAACTATTGCTATATGCATATATGCTCATCTAAGTGGATAATTGCCTATTTAAATGATGGAAATAAACTAGCCAAAATAGGGCCTCACTGGTATGAAATCATTTACTGTAAGTGTAATGATGCAAATAAATTCTTAAGTTTCTGATATATAATATTATTAAGGCACTGAATAGTTTGAAAATCAATACAATATATGCTGTATATTAAACTGATGTCTTAAGAGTATGTATAATGTACATAAAATATATTTATAGTATTATAATTTCTGTTGTAAAGTATGCTTTGGTTTTTTTAATCTTTGTGTATTTGCACCTATTTAATGTTTAGACAAAGCTGATGGCACTATGTTTTGTACCATGTTCCTTGAAACTGTAAATTCAGTGAAAAATATCTCTTGCAATAAATTTTTGTTAAATATTTATGTAAATCAAACTTTTGTTTTTAGTTGGTTTTCACTGTTTTAGGAATGTATAGTAACAATAAGATTTGGATTTGCGGCATATTTTTTCTTCTATCCATTGGCATCTCTGAACCTCAGAGGCCCAGCGAAATATCTTTGGAGCTCTATCAATACTTAAATTATGGTATCTTCTTTCAGAATAAGTATAGCAGGTCCATTTGTTTTTCTGTTCGTTTTAATGTTGTTTGTATTCAGAGTTTACTATTTTTCCTGAACAATTGGTTCTCTAGACAATAAACAATGGAAATTCATGTTAAAGTAATGGTAGTATTTGGTGGGGAAATAACTCAAAAATATGCAAAGTACATAGTATTCTTCCAGGAACTGTAAAACAGTACTAGTAGACAAGAAATAGCAAATAACCAATATAAGTTCTTATGACATTTTTGTGTGTTAAAATTCTCAAATTTATGATGTTTGTTTTCAATTTCTGAAGGAAATACACATATATATGAATGTTGGCATGGATTAAAGAATAGGTTTAATTAATAAAATCCATCATATTACATCTTGGGAAAAATGACATAAACATAATCTGTATCTGGATATGCTCTTAATTGAGAATCTGGAAGTGGGAAGGAGAATAAATAAATAGCTCTTCCTTCTGCAAATCTTTCTAATAGTCATGTTTGTATCATATTTCTAAATCACCCAGGTACAGTTAGAAAGTCTTCATCACCCTTCCAGATTCTGCTGTATTTTTAATGACCTCTACAATATTTTCACTCAAGTGCTTCTGCGTGTACTGAAGAATATAGCTATGCAGTAGAAAGCTAGGGAGCATCACACTTTTCCAATGAGAGTTTTCCAATATGTGCCTGCCCCAGTCCATGCCAGTTGGTAAGAGAAAGTCTACATGTCTGATAATAGAAGTTTCACCTCCCCAAGTGTGAATGATAAAGGATTATGGCAGCCTGGCACTAATCCTGGCATCGAGGAGCCAGCCAAGTTCTTCTAAAGGGAGAACAGCATTTAGGTGATGCTGTACTAAGGAAATGCTATTTCATATATCCACCCATAGGAACTGAGTTACCCTAAATAATACTGAGCATAAACATATGTTTCCATATCAAAATAATCTATATTGAATTCTATTTTAATTAGATTATGATTAATTAGATTTATGATTGATGATAAGAAGATAAAAAATATAAAAGAAGCAATTTCATTTCAAATTCTCTAAGATAACATGTTTTCCAAAAATGGGTACTAAAATTGGAACACATGATTTTTCCTCAAGCAAAATACTTGAAACTATCTTTGAAGACACATAGATGGATATATCTACTGGGGAATGCTGACCCAGTTTGTGTTTAATCTGTCAGAGCAGGATTATTGCTTCTGCTGTTTAAAATCAAACCAAATGTTTGACTTTAAAATATCCAGATTTTCCTTCTTCTTTGGTCATCTTCAGAGTATCATTCCTCTCGTTCACCTCTTACCTCTTGTTCTTATTCTTTCATTCCTTTGCCCCTGATATTTTCCTTCTTAATTTCATTGTAGACATCAATTGTGCGAAGTGCGTCTCCTCCTCTTCTTTCTCTATGTTATCATTTCTTTTCTTTTTTTCAATTCTATTGCTCTCTTACATTTATTTTTGTTGAATGATTTGGTTAGGCACACTTACCTTTTTAGTTGTAACAGAATACACCTGATTGCTAGATATATGCTAGAAGTTTCTGGAAAATTTGAGGGGGGAAATTCTCAATTAAGACTAATCGAAACTCAACTTTTAATTGATTTGTTTTGGTAGATACCAGTGGCTGGAAAAGAAATGAATGTTAGTTAAACACATCAAAGCCATTCTGATTATACAATTCATCTAGATATTTGATATCTTTGATAAGATATTGCCTACATAGTCTGGGTATCCATTATATGTTGGAGACATAAAATGAATGTGTGATGAGACATTTGTTCATCTGTTCTGATAGATGATAATACCGTGATAATACCAACCCAGAATCAAGGGAAAGAGGTTGATGGGCTAAAGATCAACAATGAGCAGAGCAATTAGACAGGTAAGTCAGGGTAGACCCATCAGGCAGTGGGGCTGTCAGAGGAACACCAATCAAGCTCATATTAATGGCAGCAAGAGTCAGACCAATGTAACAGTCATTCTCTGGAAGTATGTTTGGGCACTGGCTGATGGCTCATCCGTAAATCCTAGAGCTGAAATCCCAGTCCTATCCAGGTGTAAATTATTGTACATCCTATATAATTGGGAAATTTAAATGATCCTAACATTATCTCTTACCTATCATCCTTAGTCTGCTAGTTACAGGCATTTCTATAGCATTTGTTATTGTAAAGATGAATGAATTGGAATATAGAATAAAACCTGCACATGGAAAGTAACAAGTAACCGCAACCAAGCAACAAAAGGATTCACATTGGATGATAGGAAGGAAACTCATCCACAGCTTCAACTAGCATGCAACACCCCCTCCACCACCACCACCATATATACATATACGTATTTCCAAGTTCTTTTATGAGTTGAAGACCTATACCAAACCGTCCTCAGGGCATATCTGCCAAGTATTTTGAACTCAAAACTCAAACTCATGATCTTTCTTTATAGGTAACACTGAAATCTGTTCTTTGTCCTGTGTTTCTAAGCTCTGTGAATGTCATTATATATTAAAAAAAAATCCTATTATCCAAGTCAGAAGCCAGCATATTATTCCCACATCAAACCAATCAATGAATGATTTTGGCTCTATTTACTTAATTTTTCCTGCCTGTACATTCTATAAGGTTTTAGCCATAGTAGTCCATAAGCTGACTTGCTGACTTGCTATTATAAACTAATGTCTCTTTCCCTAATTTCCCATTTCTACAATTCATCCTCCCCGCTGCTGCCGCAGATACATTTTAAATGTAATTTTATTATGACACTCCTCTAGTTTAAAAGCTATTATGGATTCTCAATTATTCTCAAGATAGACATCAAAGTCCTCAGCATGTTAGGAAAATCTATGATGACTTAGGGCCAGCCTCCCTCCTCAGGACAATCCACTCCAGCAATCCCCTGGGTTAACCATTCTAATCTACTTAGTTATGATCACCTTTGAGTTTGTGTGATCATGTCTGTTGTCCTGTAATGCCTTCCTCCCTGTGTTTTTGTTGGCTTGGATAACTACTACTGAGTCACAATTCAAATTGAGTGTCAGTCTCTTTTAGTGATTTTTTTCAGAGGTTCCCTCTTTCCCCAGATAAGTTAGCTTGGTGTCCTCTATCCTTACATGGCATGCTGTGCACAGATTTTGTTACAAAGTATTCTCTGTGTTGAATATATTTTCTTGTTTGTCAAATCTGCTAAATTAAGAGTTCCTTGAGTCGATGTAGGATGTGACTCATAATAAACAGTAAGAGTTTGTTGAATGAGAGAATAAAATGAGCTGAAAAAATGTAATTAAAATCTATACAGATTGTATTACAGAGTTCCAGAACTGTTATCCGTTTTACTCCAAACTGGTCCTAAATCAGTCTAAATAAAGTATAATTTTCCCCTAAAATTAGGACTTCAAAACACCATTTAGCATGAATAATTTCTCTTTAATGGAATTATGAATCATTTAAAATAGAACTCCACAATCTATAGTTGAAGCACAACTTGAACCCTTTCCTTTGCCCAAGGAGGAAGGCACAAGCTTCATTATATCTCTACATATCCATCCATCTCTCTCTCTCTCTATCTGTTACCTATCATCTTTCATCTTGCTATTAGTAATTGTCACCAAATATTAATATACGATGTGTCAGACTCTAAACTAGCTCTTGAGGATAAAGAAGTGAATAGAACGCATCTACTACTCAGATATTCAAGTCTAGTATGGAGGGCAAACCTGCAAAATCTTATACTTAGCTATTCGAAGTTTGCTATTTCATTATTAGTTAATTAAAATGGATTGAGTTTATATTCATCAATGTTTTTTCCCCACTGTACTCTATTCTCCATTTCTCATTCTTGTTTCTACTTTTTTTCCTTTGCTTATTTGCCTAGCTAAGCCACTGTCCTTGGGAGTGAAAGTTGTCACCACAGATGTTTTCCAAATAACCTGTTTACTTTCTTTCACAAACAAAATTAGACAAAGGCTTAAGGCTTGCTAGATCATCAGCTGAGGCCAAAGGTCCTACTTTAGAGATGGTAGTAAAGAGCTGTGCGATTTGTTCTGAAGTGTTGACCGTGGCTGTTCTAGCCCAGCATCCGCCAGCCCTATGGATTGTGTCACCATCCCCCAACTGGGCATGGTCTGCATTGGTACAGAGGAACAGGCTCCTTTTTCTTCACACAAAGGGACCATTGCTCACAAAGCCAAAAACCCCAAACAAGATCCTTCTATTTTTTCACAGGGACATCTTCTAGACTAGCGCCCACCCTGAACTTTGAACCCTTGAGAACACGAGCTATGGGGTCTACTTGAGCCTGGAAGCTCCTGGTGGAAAACTGACAGTGTAACAAACTTTTCTTCTCCTTTAATCTCCTAAAATCTTAATGTTAAACCTAATTTTTTTTATTAATTGTATCTTTTTGTGGTAATATTTTGAATGTATTGTTTACACATTTTACTAACATTTTCCTTTTTTAGGATTTTGGTTTCAATGGCTGCATTTTAATTTTTTATAAATTACTTCCCAACTTTTCTTTATGGAGTATATTTTCTATATCTTTATTATCTTCACACTATCTGGAATATTATATTATATATCTTAGATTTAAAAAAATAGATTTCATTACATTTCAACTGAATTAATCATACTTGTTTAATATTGTTTCCATGTTTTGTTTATATTGATTACCTCTAAGACTATTTTAATTCCCTCGTTGAATATGAATTTCATTTCATTCTTCAATATGTTTACCGATAATATGGGTGGGAAGCATAGCTTCTTTGGGAAGTGCCCATATATTAAGGAGTTTTGATGACAGGACTTACATTAACCCTTCAGGCTTCTTCAGATAGGTTCTTTTATTCTCTTCAATATTTAATTCCCATAGTATACCCAGAACTGAATTTTCACCATACTCCACAAGAACTAGGATTCAGTGAACTAGAGGCGAGATTTTAACGTTCATGTATGAAACAATCCATTTCCACTTGCTTCACTGGTTTAGTTCAACAACTGGGCTTCTAACTGGAAAACTCTCTCAATGCATAAGCTCCTTGGTTACCCTACTTAGTTCTCAATCCCCTTTAAACAAGGCTACGTCTTTGGCTCCCTCCCAGCTCGCATCCTCACTGCCTTGTGTTCTGAAGAACTGACCTGCTGCCTGGTGTTTGCCCTTTTTGTGTTGTCCCAATTGATCTAACCTTTTTTTGTTGCCTAAACTTGCTACCTGGAAAGTATGTCTCGATTCTTGTGGTTGTACTTGTTGGAGCTAACCTTCGTACCTGGTTAATTATGTCAGGCTTGAATGCTTATTGACTTACATTGCACATTATCCCTTTTTAAACAAATTCTCATCATGTTTCTACTTTGAACCTGCCTAGGTGACATTTTAAACTCAGGGAGAGTGAGTTTTTAAAAATCCAACATTTTGGCTGCCTTAATTTTGTAGCCTATATTAAATTGACCACATGCTTTTGCAAACAATTAAGTTTCAAATTAATGCTTTGAGTTTCAACTAAACTGCTTACTTTTTTTGACTTATTTTTTAATCGAAATTATTTTAGAAGTGGCTGTTACTTTAACTTACATAAATTGGTAGGGCATTAATCTTCACATTAAAATGATAAGCCTAAAATTGATCATAGGTTTTATTAAATGGCTTCCATCTCTTCAACAGTTGTACTGAAACAAAAATGATAGAAATATTAATATGTTATACTGATAGGAAAAATCTATATTCTGTCTTGAAATGCAACTATCCTGACCATGACCTTTGCAAAGCCATACTATTTCTTAGGTAGTGTGAACATAATCTAAGATTTTAAGTACATTTTAGACATTGACAGTTTTAATTGTGTTTTCTATATCCAAGGATTGTAAATGTGCTTGCTTGCCTATATGCTTTGCTAATATATAACACGATCTTTTTCAATTGCTAAACAAAGACTTATTTGTCAAATTGAGAATCAGAATGCTTCTACAGTATTCATATTATAGAATATTATTCTCTCATACAGATAATCTTTGCCCAAACATGTCAACATGGGAAGGACTCTAGAGTAATACATTTGTATACCAATAAATGTAGCTACAGTTGGAGGTAGCTATTAAAGCTTATTATAGTTATCCTGTCAACTTGTTAGAGTCCTCATCTATGTTAAGAACTGGTTTATGCATTTTGACTGGAATGAGAATTTACTAATGGTAAAGATGTCTAAAAAACTGGCTATGAATACAGAGTTTTAGAAGGACTATCAAAATAAAACTCTCTCTACATGAAAAAATAATACATTATAGTATTTCTATACACAAATCTAAATTGAATCCACCTCTAAACTGTGAGCTCAGAGCTTAGAGAGGGCAGGTGGATTTTTACTCTCATAAATTGTTACTTGGAAGCTTAGAAACTGCTTTATAGTCCTAAATGCTTTCTCCCTTCCCTCCCAGGGACCAGTGCTCATTGTACTGCATGCTATGACTGCCTGGAACTCCTGGACATTGTCCCTTTGACAATGCTTCTCTCTCTCTTTACACTCATGCTCAAGAGGTTGCACGGAGCAGCCCACACTGCTTCTATGTCACACTGTCCCATAATACCTTCTGAGAAGAGCACATGGTAGCTTTCTCAGTTGAAGGTTTGAGACATTTTGAGGGAGTGGTGGGCTTACAAAGTCAGAGTGTCATTGTTAAAATCAGGCACTGATTTTGACTTCCCCTGGTAATGAACTCAGCCATTCACAAGGGGATGACCTTACTGGGCTCACTTGCCCTCGGGTGTGCTGCATCCCTCTCTGTACCTTCAAATCTTCATCCTATTTTGGGAGATTGTTACTGCCATTCCTGCCTCAGCAAATAATGCATTTTCTTAAGTCCAAATCATTCAGTTAGATTAGCACACAGGGAGGGCCCTGGCAGACTGTTCTCTGCTGGTCATCACTCCTAATTCCACAAGAGTCCAGAGCTGCAGGATGACTTTGGTCTCTTCAGATATAGTTTGTGGGACAGATACACACACACACACACACACACACACACACACACACACCTCCCAAGGACTTCCTGATGGTCACTGCCTGGAATTCCTCAGTGTTGTCCCCTTGACAGGGTGCTACTCTCTGTCTCTCCATGGTCACAGTCAAGAGGTGGAATGGAGTATATTCTCAGGTACATATAGTCTAAGACAGAAAAAATAATTCTTCACTGCTTAGAAAATTGTAAGATGCCTTCCATTTCCATGTCATCAATAAATCCCATGTTTCCTTAGGTCTTCCATGGAAAATGCCATGATAGCTATTCTAGTAAATTATTGAATAAATGCTTAACTGAGATTGCTTGTCCTCAGTTTGGATCAGTGACGAGGGGAAGGAATAAACTATTTGTGCCTAATAATATAATTTCAGGCTATGTCTACACTAGTCTCATCTTTGAGATACTCCTTCAATTTAGTACCTTGTCCAGACAAACTTGTCTCTTGTGATCATTTATATCTAACATATTCTAGGGCTCTACTAGGCTCTGGAGAGACACAGATAGAATTAAAACCTATCAATAATGAGTTTAGAGTAGAAAGGAGGAAATAAATAAATAGGCAATTTTAATAAGATAGGCTATGGAATACAATAAACGTGATAAATGATGTTATGGAAGAGGATATGACACATTAAAGAAACAAAAGAGTTAAAAGGGAAATTTTTGATAGATGTGTCTGAGAGATAAGTAAGGCAAGAGATTTAGGACTTTATGGTTAGAACGACAGTCATTAACAGTTTTTAAACCATGAGATGAATGGCCCTTATCAGAGAAGCAGATTAGAAATATCACTAGGATTACACAAGGGAGAATAAATTAGTGTGTGTGCATTTGTTAGGGAGTGTTGAGGATGCCAGCAGGAGGTTTCAAGCAAGCAAATAGACATAACGCTGGAGGGAAAATCTGGAAGATAGATAATCTACAGCTATTTAGGAGTTGACTTTACAGGGGAAATTTTGGAAGAGAGAGAGAATCTAAAAATGAAATTTAAGCATCAGGTCTGGGCAATTAGGTCAATGTGGTCATTCACAAGTGATGGAAAGGCAGAAAACAGGAGCAGAAGAAAGTTTCCAAGAGTTGGAGCACTTTTAGGAAAATGGAGGA